TGGTCATTCAAAAACCGAAGTCCAGTTCAATATAGTGAATTGCGAACTAGTGAGCAAATCCCTCACTACATCTACCTAGAATTGACATATAATGTTTGATAGATGCTTCCTAGAGAAGCAAACTCGGAGTAATAGTTAACAATGTTTCTGGCTGCGCAAATTATACTGTAAAGACATGGAATTTAGTCAATCCGCACATTGGACACATATGAACTCGTTCGAAACTTAGAGCTACCTTTCTTCCAGCATAGGCGAGAGGCCCACGTGAGGCCGTAAGTGAAATATGAAATTCAGGCCTGGCTCTGTCAGCGACAACAAATTATTTTGAGCGTGCACCTCAACAACGAAGATCAAGGAAGTTCTTTGGGCTTTTATTTACCTACCGTAAGTCCTAGGATTTTTCAGTCGTGAAACAACGTCAGTGAGCATATCTCAATATGGTTCATACAATAATAACACACTGTAAACACACTGTAATAACACACTGTAAACATAATCAAAATAACTGCTTGAAATGCCGCCATCTAAGACTTGCCCAGTGCTACGTATGACTTCATTGCCAACAACGTGGATTTCGTTGATGCCGTCACAAAAATAGATCAAATTCCAACAATCGTACTGTTTGCCGAAATAATGAATTTTGTAAAACGCCAGGATTTCACTTGCTCCAATTTGTACTACGGGAGCGTTTCCGTTTTAAACGGCAGTCGAAGTAACAGAAACCAAATTTTGTGCTCACCAGCAATCTCCGTTATGCAACAGTGAGGAAACCTGCATTAGTGTGTTTGTGAATATTATGTCGAATCATTCAAAATCCTAGCTGTATCGCTTTGTTCGGTTACCTTTTGATTTGTACTTTATAATACTCACCACGGTCATCTTATGGGACGTCTTAAGTTATCGTTATTTATCTTACCTACTTAAGCTTGAAAGGTGGATTGCGCTGTCATTTCTGATGAGGCGCTTGAACTAGAAGGGTACTTCTAGAGGAACTAAAATATAAGTTAGTGTAACTCTTCAAACACAATAAGCAAATACCTGTGAATTCAGACAGTCGTTTAGAATTCGCGAGGCCTATGATATCTTGCATGTGTGGGAACCGCTGCATGCCAAGTTGGCGAGACAGATATTCCTTTGCTTAAACCTCTTAAAAGATGGCTCATTTCCAATAATATTGTCTGCGATTTATTTGCCTCCTATCTGCAAAACGGAAAAGTTTTGATGCAAATAAAATCTTTCTGCAAGTGTGCAGCGGTTTAGTGTGTAGTTTTCGTAGGCTTATTCTAACTCCCGAGGAGTAGTATGGGGAGTTAAATGGTATAGGTATAAAGCAGTTACATCTAGACACACTCAGACAGACGTCACACGCCAGGAATAGCACTGCACGCGCTTTTCATCCTTTCGAGAATCGTCAGCAGTGCGCATTCCATCGGACCCTGGTAGGACTCGAACCAGCAACTCGACTTTGGCAGTCCGTGGTTGCAACCACTAAGCTACGGGGGACAATAACGACCTCGTGAATTAGTTACTAGATGTGATATAACGCCGCTCACTTTGCCTCCTCTGCGCGGCAGCAACGTTCAAGTCAGTGGATAGTGAGCGGCGCTATATCATATCTTGTAACTAATTCACGATTGTCGTTAGCGTCCCTCGTAGCTCGGTGGTCAAAACCAAGTACTGGTAACAGTGAGTTGCTGCTTTAAGCCCTACCAGGATCCGATGGAATGCGCACTGCTGACGATTCCCGAAAGGATGAAAAGCGCAGACAATGCTATTCCACGCGTATGACGGCTGTCCGGCTGTGTCTAGTTTTGACGAATTTCTACCTGTACTATTATTCTAATTCCTTAGGTTAGCCGACCAACTCAGATCACAGGGCCCGCTTGTCTTATTTATGGGCAGATAGGAAAAGAAGTCGTTACACTTATGTGAATCGCCTGTAACAGCTAAATTAACAACCTCTGCAAGTACGATCACAAAGCATAAAGCAGTGTCCAAGTCCCTTAAGTAAGGAAAGTCAAGAGTGCCAGAATGCAGAGTCTGCTCTCCCAGACATATGTTTGGAACGTAGTACAGGACACATGATTAACGATGCAAAAAAGGTAACGGTCAATTTACACAAGCACGAAAGAAAAACTTTTGTACGGACTCATTAAGAACAGGCACAAATAATCCAGCAATGGTCACCACTGTATCAAGGCAAAGTATTCTGATTTGGCTAAACAGTATATCGAGAGTTGTCGACACGTTAGCTTACTTGGTGCATTCGTCTGACGGTTGGTAAGCACCGTTCCCATTAGTTTAAGAGAATACCGGGCAGTGACGGGACGTAGGCGTATTTGTGCAATGCCCCATGAACTCGTGTATATACTGAAATTGCGACAGTGAAAACAGTAGTTAGTTAGGGAAGAATGCATGTAAACGAAGGATTTCTTTGCAGGTTGCATGCAACCGTGGCGCTTTGTGGGCACTGATATGAGTACGTACACATAAAAATTTCAACGTAGGTTTCATGATTTTCTGAAAACTTGTGTACGTTAAGACTATAATGTTTTTTACGCAATGTATCCGCAGACTGAGAGAATACGGATATATCCAACTGCTAGATGGACTTTGTTCATTGAGTAGGCTAAGAAGTTACCCCAACAAGCCTGTGCAATAGCAATTCCGGAGCAATTCCGGAGCAATTGCTGAGAAATCGCTTTATATGTAGACGAATATTTCCAAATCGTCCCCTACTGCTTAATCAATGATGTAGCAATCAGCATCGCATTCTCTGAATTATTAATCCTATTGGCGTTTCGACAGACATATCCCAAGTTTCGTATAATAATAAATATGAGTATGAGGAATTGGTCTCTCATCCATCGGGCAGTAGCTGTTGCAGTCGTTGGAACCATTAAATGGATCATACGCCGACGTGCAGGTCATCTGCAGAAACAGTAGTAGAAGATGCCCGCAATGTCCAATGCGGTACAATTGGACCGTCGTTTAAGTCAAATTTCATTGTGCCGGAATTACCAAGTGGGCCGACTGTTCGATCAATGAGATTACGTTAATTAAAACGACGCTTATGAAGAATGGCTACCCGCGACCATTTACCCAAAACGCTGTCAATGCAAAAGCTAATGGACTTAGTTTATGTGAAATGCTAAACCGATTTATAGTACTTTACATTTCCAAACCATTTCCAAATTACTGAAGAAAAGTTAGCGTAATCTGTGCTGCACATTGAATTTGTATCCTTGTCTAAGTATTTGTGATTAAAAGAACCAGAAGTTTTCCCGTCCTTCTGACGAAAGAATCTCGACCTATTTTGGTCAACCCCCATACGTACACCGGTACATGTGTAACTGTGGTGCAAGCAACATAGGAATGACTCTAAATATTCTGAAAAACTAACGAACGAACATGTGTTTAAAATGGCTTCATCTTGAACTTGATAAGCACCCATGCACACTCAAAATCCGCACTCGCGTAGGTTGCCTTCTTTCAATATTGCTAACACCTATTGGTATCAGTGTATTTGATAATACTGAGCTCAGCTTCTAATATATTTTCGCTTTTCATTATTTCTCGCTGCTTCGGTTGTCCCGTCGTTTACTCTCAAATACGGTTATTCCGCACTTTAAGGATAATCTGTACTTAAAAATTGAACATCCATCTATCTATGGGCACTCCAGGCGTATATGTGCGCAACAAGACTTTGCTATAAATTTGTGTACTTACTATTGACAACGGTACAGTAGGAACAATACGAAATGCATGCATCTTCCAAATTTCGTCTTCAGATTTATTTTCAAGATTTTTGCTATCAGATAATAGTATATACAAGCCAAAAGACTAAAAGTGGCCTTGGCCTAATTAGAACTATAACTTATACATGTTCGGCTCTAGGTTTAGAATTAATATTTAGTTTGCATTGGTGCTTTAAAAATGCAAATGCTAATGGTTTCTCTAACGAACAAATAAAACTTTTTGTAGATATACTATTGAAAATAGGTCCTTGGTGCAATTTGCAAACTAAAGTAACTGCCTTGTCTCAGCTACCTTTTAAAAGAATCGTATTATTCCTCGTGTTTTTTACTTTCACAGCAGCCATCATTGTCATCCATATATGTTTCATTTTAACCAAAATATTCAAGTGGCACCTAATTCCATTGAAATGAAATCATTTCTCTGGGCCGATGTAATGCATCCACCAGCCTTAATCTTCTTACTGCGTTGTTCAGATCAGTGTTTACCATTGGAAAATTAATGCTTGTTGTACGTTGAAATAAATGTTATACAGTGTGATATAGTTGGCAATATATATTAAACCTGATGGTACTTCTGACGCACTAAATCGTATTGGCGCAATTCGCAAATCAAATTTTTTAAGGTAAATAAAATTGGCGTTATATTGAGCTTAAAATTTCAAGTAGTTTTCCGATTATTTTGCAGTTTTACTGAAATCTTTCTTTTGCAGTCAACATCTAGTGGAACCTTGGCCACTAACACCCCTTGTTACCAATACCCAGTTCCTGATATTTACAACGTACTTTCGCGGAATAAATGCTTGGTTTGATTAAAATTAACTGTAATATTGTGACTGTTTTCCTACCCATAATTGAAAATTCAGGCCTTAAGTATTGTGGCTAGTTACATTGCTGGTCTTTAAAAACATTGCCATACAGAAAAGTATTGATCATTATTATTATAATAATTATTATTATTTCCATTGATGATTATTATTGTAAAGCATCCATATATTCAGAAAAATCATACGCTACTTTGATTATACAGCGGGTGAATGTGCTTCAAGAGAATTGAACGACAAATCAAATACTTAAGTGACCATGCCAAAGCAAACCTTTCAAAATTGCCTTTATATCTTAAATGTTCTACTTCATGATCAACATCCTAGTGCATACATAATTGCACGTTTATAAACTACTATGCTTTACCTCTTTCACTGATCACCTGACTGGCATCCATGTTTGTGCTGACCATTTTCCTAGATTTATATCGCATCCGAGGTGAGTGAAGCAAAACCTGTTCCCCGTTAAGCGTATTTTGTTTTTCTTTTCTAACTCAATGAAAGTTAAGTACTTATTTCAAATAATTCCAATCATGAAGCAATGCAGCACAATAACTGGATCAACTTTTGTCACCGCCTACCGCATATCATCTGCAATTATGTGCACAAATATATGGCAGCCTCCTATTTCTCCACCTTTAATTTTAAGGTAATTTATCAGTATTTATTATTTCGGAATTTACTTTCAAATACAAATAGATGAATTGACTATTTCTGTGCACCCACGTAAGTGCTATTTTACCTGCATTACCTGCTCTCTCAGCACCTGTTTAAAATTATTTAGATTACACCTATGTAACAGAACTGGTAATCTGCCGAGGTTACTGTTATTTGCAATTTTATAATTACACTCATTAATTTAGTAGATAATTTACAATAATAATTAACCTCTATTTCTTTAGCACCCCTTGATCACACAGTTAATTACAGGAGTACGTTACAATGTGTTTTTGCAGCTATACTACTTTTATTAACGCACCCGTTTAGATAAACTTTAACAATTGCCTACGTTTTCTTTCTACCTCAAAAATACAGTCCGTGGCCAACAAGGTTTGTTCAATAATTCTCTATTTAAGTATAATATATTTAATTGTCTGTCAAACGGACATAAAAATGCACAAAAACGATTTAAGTGTCCGGTGTTTGAACGCAAAATTTGCAGCGAAAATGTGTCCCTACCTGAAGAAAAAAACCCAATTAACCATACAATCATAATATTTGTATTTGGAATTAGATTAGCCTACATATTACTAGATCTATATTATAAATTAAAATAACGTGAACCACTAACTAATGTAGAAAATATTACATTGACTGAATGCCTGAAAATAAATGATATATACATAATTGATGGCAAAAATTAGACAATTTTCTTTTTAGGAATCATTTAGCTTTTTATTTGTTTATTGATTCCAGGAGAGGAAGAGATCATTCGTAAGTTCATCTATAAAAACCAACAACGTTGACATTCAATTGCTCTGAGAGTAAGATAACTTACTTTTCTCTTGAGCTTTATGTGGAATAGTGCATGATTTGTTCCTAATAAGTCAGGTAGTTAAATTTTAATAAACGCAGTTTTGATTAAATATTTTTGCTTTAGTTTCTGCGACCCGTGGTCGCTATGCAACAACACGTAAGTTTATGCTAGTTGAACTGACTGCTGTGTAAGAAATGCAAGCGTGAAAGGGAATTTTTGCAAGGTCCATTTCATATTTCTGTAAATAACGCCGCCTGCAGCTAATTACTCTGTTAACATTGTACAGATAGACGGCATTCACGGAAAGGGTATCTGAACCAGAAAATTAAGGCGCTTCAGGCTGTCATCGTTCACAGCACTGCGGTCTGCTCCGTTATAGCTAGATATCTTATTGACTTCTGAGCTTATTACGCAGGCATAAACCCGCTCTTTATGCAGCATGCAAATATGCGCCTGTGGATAAAGCATTTCAACTTAGCAAGCGTGGGTTAATCTAATGATGGTGATATGCCAACAAACGTTCTTTAAAACTACCATGTCATCCGTTGTGTTCGGTAAAATACATAGGTACACGCTTTATTTCTGGTAAATTATTTAACTGGTAAAAATGCTTGAAAATAACTTACCTTATGGCAAAAGGATAGAACAAAACCATCATTTTCGATTTATCTTCCAAATTTACTACACTTCAAGTCTATTCCACGGTACTACAAATTCGTTTGTGTGCCTCATTATTTAATGTTCATTCATACGAAAAAACAGGTCGGTCGTGTAGTTCGCTACAGTGCCCGCTGCCGAAATGCGTCCTGCTCCACACGACGGTGTGAAGGTTAAAGCATAGAATTGCACATCTTTCTATTGTCAAATACTCGTCACCACGCTATGAAAAACGCAATTTCCAGCTCGCCGTCGCACGCATTATTATATCCAAAATTACTCCACACACATAATGTATGAATCCCGGCATAAGTTTTAATATCAAACCTGTAAAATCCTGACACTTTTGCAAAATTAGGGGAGCAAATGGTGAGCGTTTGAAATAGTTCTAGTCAAAGTTATTGTGGACAGTATGTGTGAATTGCACAAGATATTCCGAACTTAATAATCAGGACGCTAAAATTGTTAACGCATTTTGTGCCTACAATAGTGAACAATAACTAATACACTAGATAACTGGTAGGTTAAACTGAAGCAAATAAAAGTCTTCTCAGGGTAAGAGTCCCAAATTAGAAATACATTGGACTATAACTGGATGAGCCAAGCATTCAACGTTTCCCCAAATTTTGCATAATTCTAGTAACAATGATTGATACTAAGGGTAAGTTTATGTTTTGCGTCTTGATTTTTCAGATAGGTAACATTTGCAATATAGCTCAGAGAGTTGTAAAAAAACCTAGGTATTTTTCTCGACTTTGCCATATACAGTGTGTTGGCAAAAGAATTTGGGCACAGCGTGAAATTTTACCTATTTTTTAAAATACGTAGCCGATTTGCCTATGTAGAATCCAATTTCCTGAAAATAGTTGCCTGTATAGTTATCTTCTTGTGCAATTGCTGTCATCAGTATCGAAGCAGTTGCAATTCCTTTGTAAACAAATAGCATTTTCTAAAATGACGACAATATACCATAGTGTATGTTTCGTTTATCTTCTTCGTTTAGGCTGGCCTGTTGATATTACATTTAGGCACACCAACGGTAGGTCTAATATTCTTTACAATTTTACTGTCGGTGCTTTAGTGACAGGCAAACGTTTCTATACAGATAACTGTATTATATCTTCTGTTATAAAGCTTTACGTTTCACCGAGAGAAGATAATAAACACAATTCACTTTACGATCTATTTATTTAGTTGAGTATAACAACACGCACATGATCGCAGGTAAATGCACACATCCCCAACGGTACACAGCTTTGTAGTCCAAATGTAAAAAGATGAAACCTTCGTTTACCTATCTGTAGATGCTACAAGATGCAACATTGTTTTTACAGTAGAACAAATGCCACAAAGAGGTAAAGTGTCTTTGCGGTATATCGGGATTTGTGTATAATTCGCCTCTTTGTAAAAATAAGATTTATTTATATATTTTAACGAAAATATAAGCGCAGTTTTCACATACAGCACTGGGTGAAACTTATAGAAATTGTTCATCTCAACAACTGATTAAAATATCTTTTGCGTCGTATCACTATCTGGCCTTTATAACCATGAATAAACTTCTAGATTGTTGGTATGTGGCGGGCATTTGTGATAATAAGCTGTCAACATAGCTTAAGGTATTTTGTAGTATAATATTTGTGCTTTAATGAAAGTATAGGTCATCAACTTTTTAAGTCTTATTCTGGAATTCCAAATAAAAGGATATTTTGCTCAAATTTCCCAATGCGGCGCAAACAAGTTTTCTGTTTTCGTCCAATAAAAGCAATCAAATCGAAACCTAATTGAAACCCAGCGGATCTTAGTAACGAACCCTTATAAGTAGCACTAATTACTGCACAGAATTCCATTCATAACAGTACAACAGGTACTTGTATGTTGACTAACAATTACTCTCCATCGAAAAATGCCCAATCATTTAACAACTTAGTTGCACTACCGAGAACTATTAAACTTTCTTTATACATTGAAATCTTATACAAAGCGTTACAGGATTTTTGCTATTGTACCCAAACTACCAAGTATTCCTTATTTGGTCAGCATATATTACACCCAGTAGGAAGAGTGATTGACCAGATCTGAATGCACAAATAAATTCCTTGTCACATTTTGTTAGATAAGAGGACCCGAGTTTGTAGGAAATTGGTTAAAACTTGCAGACATAGGTAGTCAGTAGAAAATTGAAAACGAATAAATTCAGTAACATATTCATTAACAGCGATCAAAGATTTAATATACGCACTTGCACGTAGATTTTGGCCTATCAATAATCTAGGATAATGGATGTGATACCGATTAAAATATAGATTCGGGTATGTAGCGTACTACAACATTGAAATTATTTAACACAGAACTTTTAGAATAGTTTAAATTAGTTAACAGTATTTGAAGTGCAATGTAGCGGACGAGCAAATTGATAACCAATCACTCAAGACTAAGAACATCAAAGCACGGCATTTACTGAACAAGAAATAAATTGCATCGCAGCGCATACAAGCATACAAGTAGTATATCAAATGCTTGCCTAGAATAAAGATATAATAAAGCACAATAGCGTTTTGTATGATTTTTACAGAATTAAGGGGCACAAGTAACCTAAAATTCCGGTTTCGAAGTAAGTATTGGTTTCCAAAATTTAGACAGGCTATAATACTGAGACTATAGTTAGTAGCTGAATTTTTAACGTATAAACCGCCTTATTATTTCATATAGCAAAATCCATAAGACTGAGTAAGTTAACGAAAAGTGAAGTAAATGTAGGTGGTGTGAATATTAATTTATCTAATAAATTCAAAATATCGAAAACGTAGCAAACGTATTTCATCTCAGGAAAATATGTTATATCAACGTTTGAGTTTATTGGTGCCCGATTCGGTAGCAAATATAGATTTCAATACAACGGAATGCTTAATTGTTTAACGTGGTTTAGTAAGTTGCTACATGTTAGAATATTTAGCAAACGTACTCACTTGTAATAATGAAATATTTGGCAGCTAATGAATGTAACGCATAAATTTAGTTGATATATAGCAGGTAATAACTGGCCATACTTGATGGATTACCTAATTTCTCTAGCCATCAATTAGCCCAAAATTACATCACATATAAACTGTGTACTCAATTTGTGAATGTAAGGAATACAGGTTTGGCTTTTGACCTAATTTTTATAGCCGTATTTTAGCTACATAATTTCAAATATTTCCTAGATTTTGCTCCTCACGTAGATACAGTTCCCTGTCCGCGTAGATTCGCAAACTATTTTTCTGTTAGTCTATATTTTAGACTTTCTATGCGAAAAAGTAAAAAAGAAAATATGGCACAATATGTCATGTTATCTTGCTAAAATTAGAACGCATCATTTAGACCATTGCAATTTAGCAGTAAATGTTTAAAATTTATTGGCATCCTACTTTAATTCAGTGTTGGTGGCTGATAGTTTAAGATATATAACGGCTATGTTGCTAAAGCTTGTCCTAGTGTGGCTAACTGGGAACGAGTTTTTGCCAGTTAAACCAATATCGATATAGCGCTATAGCTTCAGTATAACATAGTTAAAACTTGGAGACCGAAAGTTGTTATTCAGATCAGAAATTGCAAATAAGTTAAATGCTTCAACGCTAAATATTATGGCTCATTTTAATTCCGTTTTCAGACGGACCATGTATTTACCCAGTTATTCTCACTGGGACTGCCATTGCCATATAAAACCAGCACTTACTGCGTTGGGCCTGTCAATTCAGCGGGGGTTGTGTATGCCTCATTTTATACGGCGTACATTTTCGTATTCTACATGAAACATTACGTTAATTATCTGTAAAACCTAAAGAAATAAACTTTTAAGCAAACGTTTTCTTGTAACCATATCTCTGTAGCTACAATCGCGTCCAGTTTCGTCCGAAATATTGGTTACCTCTAACTGACAGCTGTTTGCATAGCGACCCGTCAGGTAACACGAGGCTTTGCACACTAAATTGCTTCTACGTTAAACTACAGTTGCAAATACAACTGAGATCTCTATCAGTGAGTACCAGTATATATATATATTCACCTTACCGGGTAATACATGTATATTGTTGCCATGGCTTCGCAAGACATATTTCTGTATACAGCAAAAGTAAGCCGAGAGTTGATTGCTTTCGTGTATGAAAAATATATACAACCAACACATTACGCATTGTCCGCTTTGGATCAAGCCGTCAAAGTTGTCTGCAGATGTGATAACAACGATGCTTGGAAGTATCGTGATGAAGCTGCGTCCAACATTAAGTTAATAATAGTACCTGGTTCTTATAAATACAAGCAATACTTATTGTAATTTGAAATGACGGCTTCAACAATTAGAGACAACCTAAGGCATAAGGTGCACTTGTATATTGAGATATTCTGGTGTAAACTGATGCACGCGTGAGAAATATTGTTTGGCTGGCAAGAAGATTGAGAGTAACAGTCATCAAATATCCCGTTCCCACGTTCCTGGAAGGACGATTTGTAGCATTACTTGTTCAGCTGCCACATGTATGGTAGATTTGCTTCACTTCTTATTTTTGAGACACGACGTTTCGACTAAATTCGATCAAACTTGTTGGTTTTACCCCATGATAACTATTTTCTCAATAATAGAAGAAATTATAATAGGAACTAAAAGTATTGGTTTTATAAATAGATCTGTCATATATCGAGCTACGGTGGAAGGTGCATCTGATATGCTTAAAAGCCATAAGAAATTTACTTAATCACAAACATTCCCCACAATTTAATATGAGTAATTGTCAGAAACCTAAATATAAATTCATACATACGCTTGGGCTTTATTAGTGATCTAATTTACACGGACACCGCAGCTTTAATGAGCATGCGCTTAAGTAACAAAACGCAGTTAATTATCGGCATGACTGAACGTAACGGTAAATTTTGATTTGACGCATTGACGACTGCAACTTTTCCATTTTCATTTATTGATATACATCTTGACCAACTTATCCAACTTACAGTATATTCTATCGCTTTAACACTGTCAACTATGCTATCGCATGCTGCTCATTTTGGAATGTATGTCGGAATATTTTTGGTTATAGCCAGAAATTCATGACCCTTTATGGCGTTTGGCAATTCTGATAACAATTTACTCATAAAACCGTCAAAAATCAGTCTAAAATATACTGGTGCGGTTCTCTAAACATTATTCTCTAACAGTCTAAGACTAACACATACATTTTTCAAGGCCAAAGGTGAAAGTAAAAGGAGTGTTACATTGGATATTAATTTTAAGGTGTCACGTTTTGTCTGCTTGACAATTGCCAAAAACTTTATCATAAAACTTGGTTAGGATTCCACATAGTATACGTAAAACATACTCCGATGAATTCCTTTCTGCAGTTCCAGTATCGGGCCATGGTGAGCTTATCTATTTTATTCAACGGTTACCATAGTCTTATCTAACGACCACTAAGATTACAATGTTAGTCGCTAGAAATTTTGTCAATATTGCTAGAATACTCAAATGTTTGCCCATAAAATTCGCGCAATATTGCCTTGTGCTTTTCTCTCCTTTTAGACGACATTTATGACGGTATTTGCTTACGATTTGATCAGATTCTCGTTTTCATAAATTTCTCAAATAATTGTTGTCTGACTTTTGTGTAATGCAGGATGAGTTTTCCACGTAACCCTCCATATTTCTTTATTTTTAGTTTACATAAACCACTTACGTATGTCCGTTTATCATCGCCTGTGTGCACTAATAATAAAAAAGCATCAAAGCAATTGAGTTGTCCCCATGATTATTTATTTGATTTGTATCCAGATAAGAAGTCCATTTCAAGTAAGCTCTCGTCCATTAGCATTGTATTGCATCTTTACTTACGTATCAAATCTTTTGGTATACAAGGAATTTTAAACACAATTTTTTAAAATCCATTTTGCACCAGTTATCCTTAGAAAATGTTAGGCAAACAGCTAGTTTACTAAGGAAGAATTTATTTTGCTGGCTGTTTATTTAGAAAACAAAGATTAGCGATTTTTTATACCGCGTATTTTAGGAAACAATTTAACCTTAGGACGGTGGTGCGGCATTTTGTCTTTGCAAGCATTTGATATATTGTTGGCTTAGCAAACTGGGTACCTCTGTTTCTTAAATGAATAAACACACAATTACCGGTATTCTTTTTATTTGCAGATCGTTTAACCTTGTCCACATTTGTTGTGACTCATCTGAGTTATAATGGAACAACGGAGCATTAATGCAAGGGGCATAAAAGAGAACGAAAGTTTTTCCTGATGTGTTTCGTAGGTTGGTGGTGTTCTAAAAGCCATATACACGAAAGTGTTAGAGTACTAGTGCGTGAAGATGTGAGAACTCACAGTGTGGCGTTCATAGTAATCTTTGCAGTTCCATATGAATAAAGGTTTGGAAAATAGATTTAAATAATTTACGTAGCCTCCATGTTAACTTCTTATATAATATCATGTAAACCGCGGTATTTCATAGAAATCTATTATCTGATAAACTCGTTTGCTATCATTAGGTTTTGGGCGACATTTACAAGGTTCTTGCATATACGATGTGCCAGATAATATTACATATATAGCCATTTCTGCCTTCCCTGACGGAAAGCACAAAAGATGCTAAAATTGACTGGAAATTGATGCTGTATTTTGGAATTGTCTCTCATTTTACCAACGTCATGCTGATTGAAACAATAGGTTACATTTGCGTCTATACAAAGCAGCCGGAAATACATATCCGTATCTTAACTTGTGAGCTAAAAATGACAACTGTTGCGCAGAACCTGGAATGGACAGTTCCTACTTACCGGCAAATGCTTCCGGCAGACTGGCGGCGTGGCTTTGAGATCTCCCATTGGTCCACTGTTAACAGATATCTTAATGGCAAAGTTCGACACAACATAATTTCAGAAATATATGCACTTTTAACCGCTACCATTGTTACACCATCGAAATATTCGTCGAGATGAATGGGTAGGTTAAGCTATATTAAATTCCTAACCATTTTAAACCGGACCATGTAACACTGCATTTTACTTAAATAAAAGAAACCGAAATTCAGCTGCCGTATCTTGTTATTCTGTGAACTAGGAGACAAAACAGTTCAATCCATCGGCGTATATACAGAAAGCGAAATTGCATTGGCCGGTATTTGAATTTCCAGTGATTCCTCTGTCTGGATATAAACGCAGGTTGATTTACTGTCTTACCACGAAAACATGTCAAAGGTGCTCGGGAGACACCCATATGCGGGAATTTATTTTTCCAAAGCAGTTGTTGCGCTAAAAAAATAATATACAGACACTTATTATCTTAAGAAACTTTGGGGAACTGCTTAAACTGGTTTTAGTGTTGACAGCGGCAAATAAGGTTTTCTTCAATCGACAACCATTCAAAGGGGAAGCGGTAACTGAGCTTTTAACTCAAATTAATTCGGTTGCAATTTAGTCCACCTACGCAGCAGACAAGTTAAGCTGTTTATTTGCAAAGGAACAACTCATTCGTTTAATAAACAAGGTAAGGAGACTCATGCTGACCGGCTCCCTGGTTAGCTTTTAGTTTGCATGTATCGGTGGCGATGGTATATCGATAGAATGGCGGAACAAATTTGCAAACGAATAAATATTTCCTACGTTTGTTTGCTCAAGTTGGACGTAGGTGCGAAAGCAGTTAAACTCAGGCTTACAATGTCGACAGTGAACGCCAAAAGGATATAATGTTCCACCGCACTGATCAAATTTCAAAATATTCTTACAAGTGCAACGGCCAAAGCAACAAATCACTCCAATAATTCAACTGCCCACAGATTCTATCATGTATCCTGGATGTATCTACCGATTGTCATGGACGTAGAGTAAACTGCCGCAAATTGTGCGCCATGAGAAGAATCCGAATAGTTCTACCGGGAGCTTTAAGCAATGCGGCGCAGACTAGGGATACTTGAACTACCGATGCATTCTGGTCGGTGCTTGAGGAGAGAATGTTTCGCGGAAAAATGGATGCTTTTGGGGCTCTGTACTGAACGATGTTTAGCCGTCGCACTGAAGTTACCAATACCTATAAGGTCTACTGTGGTACAATGAACAATGAACAATGAACAATGATTTATAACGGGTAAAAAAGCATATGCTTGACAGGTCCCGTAGGGTGGTTGGAGCAATAGATAAAATGGAAGGATAATCGAACAAGTAAATGGTTTTTTAAGCCTCTACAGATTTCAACAGATGTCAACGCACCACTTCATAATGATAGTTTGAAGTATGGACTGGATGTCTGCCCCCAAAGTAGAGCTGTTACATTACAGCAAATGTGGGAAAAAGAAATCAAAGGAACGGATAACGCTCACTCGTGTGTTGCTTCCGTTGAGAGATGTGGTACGTTACTCCAGTTTGTATACATCCATGTCGCTCATTGGGACACTTCTGTATGTAACATCACCGCCACTTTGCGAGGTGGGTCAGTAACCTCATGGTTTGGGTCTCGTTATTTCGTCCTCCGAATAGGACGTGCTATGCCAAATAATGCAAGTTGGAAAGAGTGTCATCTAGGCGTTTTTTAAATGGTGCCAATGTGGGGGCAAGGACGACGTGAGTGGTGAGCGCATTCAAAGCACGGGACCCACGGAGTGAGAAAGAGTTTCGTCGACAATCAAGTCGGCTGTAGTGTGTAGCCAGATTGAGTTGATGACCTCACAGGTTGGTATTTTGGCTCAGCTGCAAGAGATTGCGACATGGGTGATTTGGATTCATCAGTATTAAGTAGACCATGATGAGGTCTCCTCGGTGACGACGACATTCACCACTGTACAATCCCAAGGACTGCAGTCTGCGTTATGAGGGGATGTGAAACAGGCCTCTGACGAGCTTCGTTGCTCTACGCTGTGGAGCTTCAAGTGCACTGATGTCGCGCTTGCGCCAGGGACGCCAGGCCTGGATCGCATACTCCACGTGGGGTCTCACGTAAGCGCTCAGCATTTGCGGAAATACAGATGACTCGAAATTTCCGAAAGCCCTCCGTAAGAGTCCGAGATGTTGACTGGCCCTTTTCGATGCCTTTTCAGCTTGTCTGGAGCAGCCAAGGTCGTCCTGCACGATCACTCCGAGGTTGCATTCCTGGGAAGCATGTTGCAACGGTTGGTCCCCGAGTAAGTATTCATGGATGAGCTGGTGGCGTAAGCTCACGACTTTGCACTTGGCGACATTGAAGTGGAGCATGTTTTCGGATGACCAAGTGTACGCCCTGTCCAGATCGCTCTGCAGAGTTGTGTGATCGTCCTCTGTCCGGATGTCATGCCAAATTTTGACATCATCTGCAAACAGCAAGAAGTTCGACTGTAGTACACTGGCAAGGTCGTTAATGAATGTTAGAAATAAACGTGGCCCCAGTACTGACCCTTGTGGCACACCGCACGGGACGTTAATTGGGTCGGACTTGGAGCTGCGGACTCCCACATTCAGCTGACGTTGAGTGAGAAAGCTGGCGATCCAACCAAGCACAGGGCCACCGATTCCGTAGCCTCGAAGCTTGTGTAGGAGGATGCGGTGTTCCAAACGATCGAACGCCTTCGAGAAGTCCGGGTAGACAACGTCGACTCCAAATCTAGCATCAGCTTACTCCGCCCAGCTTGCTCGGGCAAGCAGCAAGTTTGTAGTGCAGGATCGATTTCGGCGAAATCCGTGTTGCTTTGGCACTATGATATTGTTGTTCTCCAGATATCCCATCAGCGCCTCCGCAATTATACTTTGCATTACTTTGGATAAAACTGGGAGGAGAGTGATTGGACGGTAGTTTGACGACTCCGCATGATTACCGCTTTTGTAAATGGGAGTGACTAGCCCATGTTTCCACATTGTTGGAATCAACATTTCGTCAGGACAACGTTGAAAGAACCGAGCTAATGGTTCGGCAATGTTTAGGGCCGCAGCCTTCAACGCCTTCAGTTTAATATCGTCTACGCCTGGCGAGCTGGGCACAAGCAACGACATTAGCGTTTTCAACACATTGGTTGCCGTAAACGATACGTTGTGTAAACCTGGGTACGGTGAGAGCTCTGTCAAAATCGGGTGAAGGGATGGTTCACTCCGGAAAGTATGGAGGAAGTGTTGACGAAACACGTTGGCCGCGTCCTGTGCAGTGTGCGCATGACCATCTGTTGCACGCAAGACCGGGATCCCGCGCTGCACTCTACAGAGTTTGTTGATTTGTCTATACAACAGATTAGGATTTTTGCTGAATTTCGCCGCTAAGTTCCGTTGGTGTTGGAGTTTGTCTTCGCGAATCAACTTGACGCAGTGGTTTCGGTGAGTTTTGTAGACTCCCCAGGTCAGATTGCTTGGGCAAACTTTGTAAGCGTACCAGGCCGAATCCCTTAAAACCATAGATTTTCTCGTACGGCTTCTTAGGAACAAATCCACTTGCTTCGGGCGAACGGCTTGCGTTCTGATGAATTTGCCACTAGCTCAGTGAATTTGGTGACAAACAACATCCAAGCCTCATCAGGCGGATTCTCGGTCAGGAAGGACCAGTTGGTGTCTTGAACAAGGTTAGACAAGATGTCGTAATGTGTAACCATAAAAATTTCCTCGTCGTTCTCTCTAATGTACTCCGAATAACAGATGTAACGAAAGTGCAACGTCGCGTGATCACTACGACCTAGTAGTGTAGCTTTGGTAACGGTGTCAATCATTAGTTCCTCGTTGGTGAGCACAAGGTCCACGACAGAGGGGGTGTCACCCGTTCTTAAACGAGTGGGGGAGGTGACAT